TTTGTGTTCAATTTTCCGTCCAGAAGCTAGATGTCCTGGGGAGTTCCTTGATTTTATTTAATCACTCCTTGTAAACTCTGACGTAGAACCATAAAATATACTACAATTGCTTCGCTTCATATCCTTGTGGATCCATCCTTCAACGTGTCCTTCAATTCCACGTTACATAACGCATTTGAGAATGTACAGTCAAAGAAATCAATGAACGTACCAGATTTCATATAGGTTTTGGAAACAAAGACGATTATCCGGCAGACAGTGGCATTGAATTAGTATTTCAGACTCTGATTTCACTTCGCTTAGCACTAATCCCAAGTAAACTTCAGAAAAAATTCAAATGTTTATTTTTTGTCTTTTACATATTGTAAAGGACTCAACTATGTCTGCAAATATTGCATATTCTTTACGTCCGTATTTCCATTTTCTCTCATCTGGCAAATATACATGACGCGACAGATCGCTGATCAGTTACCTCGGTATCCAAACTATCATTCCCCAATAACTGCAATTCATTTCACGAAGATAAATTATTTATTTGCGGCTGATTTAATTAAGGACGCTGCTAGCAGCTCAGTGGTATGTTGGATGATCCATGAATAATGAACTGGAAACAATATCGATGGTATAATGCAACAAGGGGGTCTCAACATATTTGCATAATCGGAGATATTTGGTCTAAGAACACAAAATCATGGGGTGTATGTCATGTCAGAAGGGCGAAATTCTGATGCTGCTCTACACAGAGATACAGACAGTTGCATTTGAGGGTATGAACACTAATAACGCACATTCTTGAAACCAAATAGGGGTAAGAATATAGTCCCATGTAAATCAGCCACTTTGTCGATACGTACGTCCGGTATGTTGTCCTCAATATGAAGGTCGTGGCCTAGTTTAAGGTACTATCGGCATTTATGTGAAGGAACTAAAGAAAACCCTTTCAGGATTGTTGGTCTCAGGGCCTAGATTTCAATCCAGGACCTCCGGGTTACGAAGCAGGGGTCCCAGTCACTTGGCTGCGACGTTTAATGTGTTCGGAGTTAAATTTGGTAGTGCAATGTCGGAGAGGTTTAAAACCCTCCACATACTTTAGGATACTTCAATCGAGGATGTTACAATGCACTCTTATGACAAGCAATGTCAGATAAAACAATGCTGGAGGCCACAGGTCGCAAGAAGAGACCAGTTCAAAGACTTTGGTTGGTTACACCAAGCACTGAGATGATTGGGATTCAAAAGTATGGTAGAATGATAAAGTGTTATAGACAGAAACGTACTTACGAATAAGCGGCCGTGGCTTATTTTAAATTTCTATTCTAGCGATGACCTTAACGAACTCATCAACACGTAAACCAAGGATACTTCAAGAGAACTAGAAATCAAAAGCGCCTATCCAAGTGGTGCAGAAGTTTGTCTTGTGTATGGTCTTCGGCGAAACGAAATTTTGGATAACGAATCCCGCCTAACATATGAATGCCATGTCTGCCAACCATCTTACTCAATGTCGTCATATTCCCAATGGGGAGCTGTGACATGGCCCAGATCCCATGTAGATAAAGCACAGATGGCGAGTTCACGCGATCGAATAACTGAATTAGCCTAGGAAATAGAGGAAAACACCAAGAGAAGAGGGACATTTTTATGTTCAATGACTGGATTTTACCTTCTAAATTTACATTGACATCACCAATTAAATCACGAGGAAAACATTAACTACCGATACCTCGATATGAACGATATCATGTCTCCAGTTTCTTGTTCTCAATAGTACAGGACCGAAGGAGTATGGAGACCTTGAAATTTCTTAACGTACCCGTGTTTATGATCCATCATCGAAGTCTTCAAACAAACACACATCATAAAAATGCATAAATACATTTACAAGAGACATTACCTGACGATAATTCATACATAAATCCATACAGCGAGGCCAAGGATACTAGAATAAACCCAGACCAAGAAAGAAATGTTTATCTTTTGTTAATGCCAACAGTTTGACGGAAGACAATAGGACGCACAGCGGAGAAACTTAAAACACTGCAATTTATAATTCAAGTTCAATACGCAGACAATTAAACAAAGTTTAATCACGTGTTGATACTTAAGGCTGCTGGAAGATCTCGTACAATTAGCGCATTAGTGCACTCTTACACATACAATTTTGGGTTTAGGTGATATTTTACGTGAATTTTAGTCAAAATTGTTTCAGAATGAAACAATTCTGAAAGTATTAAAAATGGCTGCAGGAACACCACGAAATATCACTGAACACACCCATCATAACATGGACTAAGTTGTATATAATCTGAAAAAAAAATGGCAGTAATTTAGCTCGACATCACAGAACACAAACAACGGAAAATTTTCTTTTAGTCAGGAAACAGTAATGTCAGAGGGACATTTCTGCAAGTTCGCTGCTCTTTCAAAATACCACAAGCGTTCAGGAAGTTTACAGGATAAACAATATATTAGGGGAAAAAATAAGAGAAAATGTCATTTTTTACTACAATTTCAAAGTATTTCTTTCAGTGCCATAAAGTTCCAGGAGTTAAATATAAAAAAACTGTCCTACTTTTATAGTGTCGTCCTCTCTGAATCACCCTATACAACATGAAAATCCAAAACCACAGAATGGTGGGGAAGTCGGCAGTAAAAATGGAGGCTAAGGGACAATAAGCCCATTGTTCGAGAATTGCATTACGTCATATAGTGGACTGGCTGCACTTGCTGGGACATAAAATGTAGATTATTCAGAGTTACTTATTTTAGAGCAGAATTTTAAATAACTATAGACCACAAGTCTGATTCGTAAGGTCCAGAAATCTGGAAGGATTAGAAACAAATGACACACGCCAGCGTCTGGTCTACGTTCATGTTAATTTGTTTAAGGTGGATTGCCATCAGCTGTTTGTATCGTAATAGTTCTATCTTATACCACAGACTAATTTGTTTGTTTTTTTAAAAATTATAATTAATGCTTAATTTTAGATCAATATAAATGATACAAGTGAAATATTATGAAAAGTATACATCATTTCCGACATTTTAATATCTATAAATTTCATAATTCTGACAGCTTCAGAACCTGAGGATTTTTCATTGTAAAACCAAACTGTGATTTTTCATTAGGTGTATGGATCATGTCAGCACAAGGCTGAAGAAAAACGTACATGTTTCTTCCTTAGATGTTTCTTCGTATCACGTGTTTGCTGGACCCCCCACCTGGTGAACAGAGAAAGTGCCCCTGTCCATCTGGTTACCGTGTTCTCTCTCACTGCCTTTTCTCAACGAGATGCTACCACGTTACTGGAATTGCCCGCGGTCTTACATCACTTGGACGCAACAGAGGTTCATCCACAGTTTCACACTTTAAGAGTTCAAAGGACCGTACTAGAACGGGTGATGTAGCAGTGCCTTTCTGGACTTACACTCGGGAGAACCCGGTTTGAATATCGGCCGTGTTACCGAATTAGTTCTTCAGAACACTGAGTAATTTCAAGAACTTCATATTTCGTCCACGCGACCAACAGGCTCAATGGAACTCATTTAACCCTCTCACACCCTTCGGACGCTGAAAGCGACAGTCGTTGTCCTGGTAACACACTGACATATTGCTACTTTCAAAGACAGTTGACTTCTTAAGAATGTCTATCGATAGCTATGCGACGTTTCTCAACTGCCGCCATCACAAAACTCGATCGTTAAGATAGTAATAATCCTATTGCGGTTCTATGGATCATTGTAACAACGGTATTCGCGCAGTAAAGAATCGGTAATGACGTCATCTGGTCGATATAACGAGCGTATAAATCTTTTAATTCGACGTCTGCATTCATGGGAAATAGTCGCTAATATCCTTAGCAAGTAAAGTCCATCAACTCATTGCAGTATCGATAGTTTAATCGCTGGAGTCTGAAAATCAAGGCTGAGCGAATCAAGGCCCAGTATCTGCTACTGGTATTCAAATGACCCAATGAGAACTAATTAATTCCTTCTGTAGTAATATCCGCTTTGCAACGCATAGCTTTTTTACTCCAACATGGAATTCTACCCATCTTTTATTCTAATTCTCTTCTTCGTATTCGTCCTCTTCTTTTAATCTCTTCCTTCATCTCCCCCTTTGGTGTTGCAGTCCGAATTCAGTTTTGACATACTCTAATCGTAGGTTTATCCGAACTAAAACTTTTCGTATTTTTCTTCAGTCCCTTGAAGAACTGAATTTAAGGGCTTTGAAAACACGTCACGACAACAACGTTACACGCCTTTCCAAAGTAATCATTCATAATCATGTAATTCAATGACAGAATAACATAAAACGTCAAAAATAACCAGTATAAATCACTTTGAGAATCGACATCATACCGGTTTCTTTTAAACATCATAAAATCATCACACGCGAAATTGTGTAATAAGAAGAATTAACAATAAATTTGAACCTGACGCACCATTTTATATAATAATTTTAGTCATATTATCGTCATATAAAATTACTACCTGTTGACGTTCCACTGTAAAAATATGAGCATATTTTCATGACGAGTAAAGTGCTTGCGTGTACATGAAATCTTATTAGACCCGACGATGACAGTTACAATCGAAACATGCCAACCTGTTGATGATTATTGCTATTGAAACATGTCTTTTGAAGGTAACGGTTGACTACACTGCTACATAATGCATTCACTACAGACGGCAAAACCAAGTTGTGTAAATAAATGACTGGATAAAGCACTTGTAACAAATATACAACACGATGTTACGATTCAAAATAAAGGACTGAGTTTGGCTTCATGCAGGCTTGTACGGAATTGAAACTCAACACGATGTTTCAAGTTATCATCGTGACTGGTTTGAAGATATGTTGTATTTTGGGATGTCGCGCCGTATAGTCTGGTAGAAACTGACCGACGTTTCAGAGGTATATCCAATGCGATGAGCAACTAACATCTCAGAAGACAGCCATCATCTTGAGACCCTATACACTGCAAAGGTTGGTACACTTGGATAGAAACGTGGATGGTCCCCAGAGCCCGTTTGGAAAAAAATCCTTGCCCTCAAATAAAATTAAAATCCGGTCTTGCAGCTCATAGACAAACATCGCACCAAGAAGTTAAACGCGGTGTGGAGACGCTTTACGTATCGCAAATCGCTTGGCAAAACTAGGTCGGGAGTGGCTTTATTGCATACGCCACGCGGATTCATTGCCCACACTACGTAGCGTGTCGGTCGGTAGCCAGAGAACACGCGCCAAGACTTCGGTTCTACACAGGTCTCATCCGTCAACTGTGATCAGGTTTTCTGCTCACCATGACCTTGAGGGGAGACAGAGAAACGGGTAGACAGAGAAAGAGATATTACCCCACCCTACGACCCCCCGTTTCCACTACCCATCTACAGAACGTTGATTTCGTTCGGTTACAGTCATTTGTTTTTGGAAGGGGGTTACAATATCATACGCAGTGTAGATCAAACTAAGTGGGAATATACACAAAAAATACAGAATAAAGATATTTATAATCCAAATGTTTCGTTTACAATACGAAGACAATATAAACGCGCCTATAAATTCCGTATCACTTTTTTTATATATCGAAGTGTAACGCATGGCAACAGGCATGAAACTTCTAGGTTTGTAACAACGCGGTAAAATTCGTATTGGTAGAAATTATACACGGTATAGCGGAATGATACCAAAATCAAGAAATATATTAAATTAAAATTGATAACCACGTTTATTTCCTACGATCTTCGATTAATTCTATTGCTTGTACTGTCTGCCCTTAAAAATATCTTTACAAGCACATATATACTCTTTAATTTAATCATTCAAATAGCCGCCTTTCACGCTGATGCAATTTTACAGTCTGGGATGGCCTGTGTATCCTGGCTTTTACACAATTCTGTACATCACTGAACAATTTACTTTATAGCTAGACCTATCACTAGTTGTGCAAAATATATAAGGGAACATACATAAGATATTTGGCGTCATAAGTTATAAGTCAGTAAATGTTTTTAAAATGGTTAGTAGGATCAATTCCGCACGTATTCATGTTTGTAGCTGGTTCAATCATTTCATCAGGCAGACGTGGTGGAAAAGTATTTCTGCACGTATCAAAGAAACTAGATACGTTTGTTGTAAGAGCCCACAAGACACAAGTTATCGGCCAGAAGACGCTTATACACTAAACACAGTAACAGGACAAAAGATAAACAATACAAGACAAATGGTACTAGTGCGTCATCTACTTATTTACGAACGATGTTTTTCACTGTTCTGGTTACGTAACGTTGAACGGTAAAGTATTTTACGAATAATAAGCACGAAGACGAAAGAATCCAAATTTTTAGTCTTAAAACCTGAAGGTAAGGGATACGTTGGTAGATCTAGACATAAAAAGGATTTTTTTTTTAAAATAGGTCTCAGAAAAATAGGCTGAGACAATGTAAACTGGTTCCATCTCACAGGATAAAGTCTCACAAAAAAAATATTCTTGTGCTGCCCAGTGATTAATAGCATCTCAAAGAAATTTTAGTTAATTATCTCTTTTAAACTAAAATCACGAATCTACACTGTAGTTCTTATAAAATACCCCACATCCAGCAGACTACACACAGAAGACATGTTTACTGATTCTATTTTGCTTCGTTGCATAAACCACTAAAAAAAACGTAAGCAGTAACTCTTTTTCATATTGGCTGGGGAAAAAACCACAGACAGAAGCCATAACGTTCTTGGAAACGAACTGAACTTCTGTAACATTTCATTTTGGAATGATTTATCACTACTGCTGCCTATCTTGATTAATACTACTATGAATAATGAATACAATTCCGGAGAAAAATTCTCGTCACCACTAAATTTAACTTCAACGTTTATACTGACTTATTTTAAATAATGGAACACCAATGGCCTTGGTCTCTAAGGAGCGAGAGGTCAGTCGGCCAGCTAGTAGAGAGGCCGAAGTCTAAAACGGTTGATATATGAATGAATGAAACGTCATGCAAAGTCGAATGCTTACGCGTCCAAATGCACTATTATTACTGTGACCACAGCAATGATCTTCAATCGTTCACAAGCAACAAGATAGACTCAGGAATAATCTAAGAATTAAAAATAATAACTCAACTTCAAATATAAAACACTGTTAAGATCAAATATGATGACGTTACGAACAAATTTAATGTATAATTTCTATAAAAGTTCTTATAAAACATAATTCAATTAAATTCTTTAATTTGTTACGCTGCATCAACGGCCGAATGGTAAATTACAGATGAAACACAACAATAAATTAACAAATACACAAGAAACTTAAAATAAAGATTAAATAATTATGCTACACGAAGGTAAACTTTTGAACAAATGCTACTAACACGAGAAGTTACTTTAAAATGTGCTTAAGCGTAACCACATGTTTACTCAATTTGTCAGCATCTTTACACAAAATATTGGCAGCTTATGCACATCTAGCGGAGGGACCTGAAACACCAGTAGCAAACAAAGGAAAATCTTTCAAATTTCGAGAAGGAGCGAGAATGTCAACAGTTTTAATTAAATAAGATCAAAATTTATATGCGTCGTAAACATTAACAAAAAGAACATTTAATTGGAAGCTCCCGGTGGAAATTTATGTCTCCTTCGGCATTCTCGTAACTATAATAAATTTAAGGATATAAAAGGTGGTGTTTAAAATTTACGTTTAACTCGCTCAAGCTCTCTGGAGTCAGTAGAAGTTGGTGTATTCCACGAAAAAAAAAAGTATATTCCAGTTTATATGTCACTAATGCGAAATACAAAATGAAACGTCTGACTACGGATGAAAATTAAGAAGCGATAATACGAATAAGATCCAATAACTTAAGACCTTGTGAAAATAAACAGTCCACATGATGGTCAAAGTAAAATTTAGTATCAAGAATAATTATAAGATACGAGATACACAAAGTTTTTCACACAACTGTATATACAGCGATCTGATGAGTTATTTTTAATCCTTTATCATAATGAGCGACTTAATTTATCCTGTACAGTGGATGTAGGTCTGAAGTGTCAAATGATCTGATTCAGTGAACTTGTTTCAGGAAGGCATCGGTGCCAGAAGAATCTACAAGAAGCTAAGCAGCTCAGCTACCACGGAGATAAGATTAGTAGATCACCTTCATTTTGACAAACACAAAACATTAACATGAGAAGGTGAACGGGGCGGTTCACATGAGTTGCAGTCTCCATAGCTGGACAACGAACTGTAAATTGTATTATTTATTTACACGGTAGCCATGACAACAACAACAAACACTCACAAACGTGTGGACAGACCAATGTTGAAATAAATGAACGATACATTTTATACATGTTGATGTAACAGAAAATGTTTCCCAATCAAACAGTTTCCAAGAAATAATATGTTCACTTTGAACTAATTTGTTAATACTGTTCTTGAATACGTGAAAATAAGGTGCTTCATGGAGTTCAAAGGCGTATTACCTTGTTCAGAAGAACCTGTGCTGAACTCTACCTTTAGGCAGTTGAATCCAATCCAACCCCGTTTCTTTATAACACTAAGTATCATCGACAACTATAAACCGAGGTGATCTCTTCCTTTGGATCTCATGCGTGTTACATGGCCCACCTAATTTTCCTTGATTTCATCATAATAACAACATGTGGCGAAGAGTACAAACAATTAAGATCCTCAGTGTGTAATTTTCTCAATTTGCCTATCACTTCATTCCTCTTTTGTCCAAATATTCCTCCAAGGACCCTTTTTTCAAATAGTCTCGGTTTGTGTACGAAGTTCCACACCCACGTAAATTTCCGAAATATTGATTTCTCTGCCCCAATATCAGTAACTGGCTAAATTTTGAATATGAAAAAAAAGTGTTTTTAATAATCCAATTTGTCCTACGTTAGGAGCTTCGCTCTGACACGACACTTTGCTTTTCTGAGTAGAGGTATTATAATTTTACGATGAACATCAGAGACTTATCGGTCAAGTAATGTTTTTAAGACACTACTTCCATCACAAGAATATGACTCGTAATGAAATCTGAGCACTGCTGGCAAAGAACAATAGAAAAGCAGCTGTTACTGAAGGGAGTCTTCAATCTCAAACAGCCATGCGTAAGCTATACGATACCAACAATAAAACTGAAAATATTTCCATCAATCTTTGATCACACCAGGGGTTATACAGCCTCAATGCCCACCAACCATGCTAGTAATTTGTCCCTTGTAAGACCTACCGCCTATAAAACACTCCCCTGGGCCCCGATTTCTTGTAGTATACAACAGGGTAGGGGTGAACTCTGGGCTCTCATATAAGAAGAGTTTAAAGTCCTGACACTTAAACAGTTTATGTAGTAAGGAAATTAGACAACCAATAAACTGATTGATCTAGAGAAAACTATAATTTCATCTGGTCATACTGAAATGTACAGTTTTCAGTAAAAATCAAACAGACCTAACTTAGGAAGAGGTCTGGCATTATCTAGCGATATTTGTCTCCCAGTGGCCGTCTTTGGAGTTATTTCACTTCGTACACATTTTACAAAACAAAATTATGTGTTGTAAGTTTAATCACCATAAGTCTTTTTTTTTAATAAATATTTGAAACAGCGCAGATAATTTCGCCATGAGAACCTAAAATTTCTCTTTGTTACAATGACTTTGCGTGGATATACACATAGGCACGTGAGTGAACTTGGCGTGGGTTTGTAAAGATCTGTCACATCGCCCAGATTACGTACGACTGCCGGGTGCAGACAAGCGTGATGAAATAAAGCAAAAAAGTCATATAAAGCAACTGGTTTAAAACCACAGCAGGTGTAAGCAAAGACTGATTGACCACAGACCAGAAAGTTCAATAACTCCGAATAGTTTAAACAGATCTGTTATTTGTAAATCAACTATTGAATTAAGTATTTTAAGCACGTTTTAAGGCATTTCCCTTATATTTTTAATACAATTAATAACAACAACGCGGTGGATTACAAACTCGTATATTGTAGGAGCGACACTATCGCCACTTTTGAGAATTTTTTGTGTAATATAAAACAACATGGCAGCCGCGCGAAATGCAGAGAAACATTTAGCTTTCGGTATTACATCTAGTGACTAAAATAGGCAAAAAATTTTTTTGAAATGATAAAGATAATAAATTGACTATAAGATCGGCATGAATAATGTTTATATTTGCCAATGATAAATACGGGAAAGGCACAAATATCTTAATCTACACATGACCAATTTAATATTCGGGATCTCTAACAGTGAAAAATATGCTCAGAATTAGACTGAAAATTTGTAAAATTTACTGATCCATAGATTTAGCTAACGTCAATGTACAGAATGAAGCCTCTAAAGGAAAATAAGCTCATAAATTATTCCCAGAACTCTTATTTACGTCGTAATATCTTCTATTTTACTAAATTGTGATGATACAGGTCATTACAATTTGGATGAAAAAGAAAAAATATCTCAAAAAGTGAATTAAAAGGCAGATCTAATACTACAAAAATCAAGGATAATTTAATATTCTGACGTAAAATAAACCGATGTTTTACAACGCATGAAGCCGCATTTCTAACATTATTCCAAATTATGTTGCTAGAGCTTCAAGTCATTGCTAAACATGGCAGTAGTGCGCAATCTTGATGACGTTAGACAATTCTTACAAGCCAGAGGTGGCACCCAATTGACTGAATCCTAAATCATCCTACACACACTAGCAGACAAGATAAATGTAACTCTGTGCAACCAGCTTCTGAAACAAGAATATCAAGAGACCTGAACAATTATTTGTTTTATAGACATCATCCATGTTATCACAATTATTTATCTGAGGTCTAGCCACAGCATTTTCTTCACATTTCACCCCGTGTAGTTGATAAAGTATCGTTGAATACGCTAAGAAACAAACGGTATTTAAACTAAACCGATTAAAACCTCCGAGAACTATACGGCAGGCAGCGACGTTTTATTCGTGGCGTAAAGATCAGCCACTAATGTAAGGTTATCTATTTGTGGACTTGCCAAGGAGTTGGTATATTCCATGTGGTATACAGCAAATCTGTTACCGTCGTTCTCCCACGCATGGCATATGGTACCATCAACAGTTATATTGCAAATTAGATGAATGAGGGCAAACGTCAGCTGAGAAATGTGTTTAGATTTAAACCAAAAGGTGTTGCAAGAGGAAGAATTTGGTAAGATTACAGTCTTCTGAGTTGTAACGCCCTCTAGTCTGGTAAAAGTTTACCTACGTCCCATCATCGCCCTGATGATGGAGGCAGTAAGCACCTCTGAAACGTCGGCAAACTTCTACCAGACTAGACGGCGTTACAACCCAGACGACAGACGTCTTCGTACTAGAAGCCGTGAAAACCTCAAATCGTACTTAAAGACTTTGGGAGCTCGAAATGGGTCACCTGTAGATGAACTCACAGAAGCGTGGGTAAAGTTGCGTGTCTCCTTCCCACACGGCATATTCCTGTACACCTGTAGATTTTAAAGTCAAGGGCGTGAACACTGGTGCCACAAAGTCTTGTAAAGTAAATAATTTCCTTTTGCAATAGTAATCTGACTGGAGATAAAGCAGCAGTAGAAAAATGTATTTCATCCTTCCCAATTCTTTCCTTCCATTCTCTATGTTCCTCGTATTTTGTCCTTCTTTTCTTGTGTTTGTTGTACACAGAGTTTGGAAAAGATTCCTCTGGATTAACAAATTGTTATTGACACAGTTGATTACAGTAATAAATTTTAATATTGACAACAAGATAAACAACACATATTCTAATTAAATATAAAACAGGCAAACTAAAATATAAAAAGAACAGTTTCCTTCGTAACGTTTTTATTACAGTGTGGAAGTAAAAGTGCGAAAAAAAATCTTAAAATTTAGAGCAAGACAGCATAAAAATAAACTGAGTGGCATCTACTCAACAGGCGGACCACAGATTGAGAAACATTACGGGAATAAATTCCATCCTGAGTCAGTTAAATCCACCTCACTGCCTTACACCAAACGCCACAAAGTTTATATTTTTTTTTATCTGAAACGGTTATGTCTTCGTATTCAGATTTTCGGAAGAATTTTAATCTTTCCCATGTGTGCTGAGTGTCTAGCCAATCTCATTTTACTTGATTTAATAACCTTAATGTAATATTTTGTGGTGATAATTCAACCATTTCTGGCCCTTTAAACTGACTGTAATCTGCAGTTTCACTACAATCTTTGCGTGTTTAGAACCTTAAACTCTGTCCACAATGATCTCGTATCTTCTCAAGCACTTATGCATCCTCTTAAAACTCCCATCTTCCCAGCCTGCACCACGCCACACCTCTTACGTTACAACGCCTTATCTATAAAACGTAAACTCGGTATTCTGCCATTTATTTTTATAAAACAAGCCCACTGAGGACGGTTTCTTAATAAATAAACATTAATAAGCCGCCCTAATAATTAACCATTCTTTAATTAACTCAAAGAGAGTAAGAGAGACGGAGAGAGTGGTAAATGAGTCTCGTGTGCAGATATTTAAAAATAGTTCCTACCTCACAGAAAACAGAACATTTCTCCATTACAGAGACCAATTAGACATTGCTTTTTAAGATGTCGATTAAATGTTGTTTTAATACACACACACACATCTGCGTTAGTTAAGATTGAATATCATTGGGTACCAACTTTGACTTAAATATGGAGCTCTGACTTGAGGGAGTTTGTCCCTGTTTTCAATCTGTTCCGCACATATGACTCATGCTCTCTGACATGGCACACACATTAAATACAATGTTTAACCATTTCGTACCATTTAGTTATTTTTAAAGCTCTGTGTTCATATTATTTGCTCAGAAATTTAAACTGTTACTTTCTGAAATGTCAAGTCCCCGCTGTGGTTTCCATCAACCATCAGCAAGGAACACATGAGGAACGTAAAAGGAGATTTTATTACTCACACAGTTTAATCAAACGACGCGTCATTTGCAAAATTACATAAACTCTAACAAACATATTGCCTGATTTTGGGTCATCTACCAACTACGGAGTTACTGTAGCTTAAAGATAATCAACGATTGATGATTAATTAATTCTTGTTATTTAACGACGTTTTTTCAACTTCTTAGTTTATGGATCCGTGACCGTGACTTCAAAAGACAGTGGGAATTTTTACGGGTGGAATTTTTAACAAGTAATTTACATTAAAACTAACTCTATGGAACAGTATTCTTCTTTAGAAGATAGTAGTCGCTCATCTGTTAAAGAAATTTCCCTCCTTTAATGAGAAATTGCCGTATTCACAGCCCGCAAATTCTACAATTATTCATTTATATTTGAGGCTTTATATGGACTTGATAAAAAAATAATGTGGTTTTCACAAGTTTCTTCCAGAATTTTTTGTTCAGTACTTTAATATCTATA